CAGGAAATTATGACTTTTTTTTGATTTTTTTTTTTTTTTTTTTACTTGGGTAGCATATCTAAGGTGAATGTATTTTCAGTTGAGAGAAATGGCTTGATCTAGGTTAAAAAAATTAATAAGCTCAATTTTAACAGTAGTAAGGAGGCTTCTAGAGGAGTGTGTTACTTTATACAATCTTTTTTCTATTCTTTAGGAGTGTGAGAATGTCTTATGTACTAAAATAATAAAATTTTATTTAGACTTTTTTCTTATACCTGGTATTCATCTCTTTATTAACTTCCAATATTATTGTCATCATTATTGTGTGCTGGATACTTCTCTGATATTGAATTATCAAATGAGTTAGAAGATGCCCATAATATCCTTCAGTTTGCAATTCTGGAACAGAAGAGAACTTGTTTCCTTTTTTAGTTGGTGATTTAGGGTTTTTTAAATTTTTTAAGTTTATTTTTATTTTGACTATTCAAGCTGTGCTTATATTCTAGCTCTATTCTAGCTCTGTTTTGAAGACATCTTAGTTTCACTCTGAATTCTTTTTTAGTCCTAAACTGTTAGATGTTCTGTGACAATTGCTGACTGTCTATAGCCATAGGAACACAAACAAATTTAAATTTGTTATCTGCAAAAAGGGTCATTAACCCTGCTTTTTAATGTTTGGCCATAATTAAACATCTTGCAAAGAGTTAGTCATCTACACTGCTTTTTAGTTTGCTTTTTTACTTCTTAAATGTTACGAGCTCAGAACATAATTTCTTTAAGCCAAATGTAATGTTGGCACCACTCTGGACTTGGGTGCTTCAGAACTAGTTTGTAGCCTGGCTTTCCAGTTCCATGAAGTTTTTAAAATCCCCAATGCAGCACAGTATTGATAATAACTAGGTTGAGGTGACTGTAATGTCTAGCTCAGTGGTTAAAGAATTTAGCTCACTGAAAGATAATAGATGCCCAACTTCAGAATGAACTGTAACAGTGTGGAAGGTCGGAGAGCTGAGGGTTTCATCTTTCTGCTTTGGGGCAATTACACTATCAGAGAATAATTCTGCATATGTTTTAGTACCAGAAGATTATTAACTTGTGATGGTAACATCAATTCTACTGACCAGACCCTTGCAGCATACATTTCAGATTTTCAAGATGTATGTCTTAAGCAGTAATCTTTTATTTATTTTATTCTGTCTAATGAATTTTGTGGTCTTAGAGTTTTAAATTTAAACAGTGCAGCAGAACACATGAAACTAATTCCACATGATAAAGAGTAATGTAGACTCAACTCTGCATATCAGCATAGCTACTAGTAAAGTATGTGGATATTCTATAACCTATATGGTCATGGCATATGATATTTTGTGCTGATTGGGTACTGTTCCCAAATATTTTTCTATTTCTTATGCATATTTTTTACTTACCCTAATCTTCTATTTTATTCAAAAGCATTTTAGAAACAGAACCGCATGAAAACATACCAGAGCAAGCAAGTCAAAAATTCTGCTGGATCAGGGATTGTATTTGATATTTGCTGTTTAAAAAAAAAAAAAAGGATTAGTAGGGAATATGTGCTTGCATTTATTTGCTGCATTGAACTCCCCCTGTACATTTAATGCATGCCTAAAAGAAAACTTCTCAGCTAGGCTTTTTAACTGTAGCATTTTCTTTTCATTTCCATAGGTATGTAGCCAGTTGTGGAATAAAGAGAGTCTACGACAGAGCTTTCTTTTATTTCCTTCTCTTCAAGATTTTGCATATCACAGGCACCAGATGTTTTCCTTTGCAGCTTTACCATGTTCTACTTTTCAGTGTGGCATTAGACAGAAGCTGAAATGGGAAGTTGTGTGAGGGAGGGGTGATGAAAGAAGCAGTTAGCATTGGCATAAAATTGAACTTCTTATAGAGATTAAATATAAATGAATTTATCATTTACTCAACATGAGATTGGAAACCAATTTATATTTTAACAGCACAAAGTCATATTGCACCACCAAAATTTCTGCCAAATACCACATTTATATATAAAGTTGTGAAAGTAATTTTTTCTAGTATTCATTTTGGTTTTATGCTGGTTAAGTCTGTGTTTACAATTATGAGACAGACTCAGGAGAGAGCTGTTTTTCCCTTGGAATTGTACAGAGCATCTAATGTATATTTGAACTAGTTGTATGCACTTTTATTTTTTTAGGCAACTTGAAGTTACTTTTTTTTAGTTATAATAGGTGAGATTTTCTGTTATGTGCTGTACTTCTAAACTTGTGTATTAAGTGCCTTCTAAGAATTTTTAATACCATGGAACATTTATTGATTAAAAATTAATTGTTAATTTTTCAGTATAAATCAGTGGTGAAAAAAACACTGGTAGGACAAAGAAATCAGTGATAGAAGGAAATATAAAATGACCTAGTTTCTTTAGGATAATAAAATCTGTGCAAGAAATACATTCTGTAACTTTTTTTCCACTGCTGCTGATGTGGAAGCAATGGAGAGATTTTCAGTGATCCTTTTGGGCACTGAATAATATTCTCTTCATTTGCCAAAATAGGATTAGTGAGTAGATCTTATTAGGAATTTGCACGTGACTTAATTTTTTATAGATAAAAGGGAGCAAATTCCTCAAAGTCAAAGAAAATCAAGAAAATAATATGTAAGAATCTAAGCAGGTAGAAAGCATTACTGCAAGGATATTTTTTCATTAACTACCAGGCACAATTTACTTACCTTCTTCCTTAAAAAGATGTATGCTCCGTATCAGAAATGCCTCTGGTAACTTATTAAATAAGATCCACAGCAAAAGATAATCAAATACTGAAACAATTTTTTGAAATTTAGTACAGTATTAAAAATAGAAAACTAATGGTGGCAAAGATTGTTTCATTTTCATTAGGAATGGCTCATAAATCTGTTTGTTGATAATCTTTTGTAGAAAGAAGTCTCATTACTAAAAATGGTAGAAATGTTTTTGTCAAGTACAAAGCTATTTGTAAAGGCATACTTTATTCTTCATGGCATATTTATGACCTGACCTTCTACCCCATCACACTTTAATCCTCCAAACCACTGTATTTGTAGTAGTCCAGGTTTTAAAAAGTAGAATTTCACAACATACATTAGTCATCACCTTTACCTCCTGCTTCCTTTGAAATTAATGCTACTTAAAGGACCCCTTCAAATTGTTCCTGAATGCACTGAGTGTGTAAGGATTGTTGGATAATCTCCCTCTTACAACAATTTTTCTGGATAATCTCCTTCTTACAAGAGTTTTTCTGCATAGAGCTCGGACCATGTATGAGTATTTGTGAGCAAATGATAAAAAGGGAAAAATCTTATAAGTGGAAATAATTGCATTACCACTGCACAAACTTAAAGATGTTTTGATTTGCCATCTTGAAAACAAAATGAAGTCTTATTGTTACATCTGATACTTGGAATACTTGTGTCCGTTGGAGATGTTCTGTGTCATAGTCACAAAGTTAATTTCTATTGAAAAATAAGTGATTGTCATTAACTCTAATGGGTATATGTGTGCAATTCTTAGACATATGAAGGATCAAAACAAGAAGGTTGCCAATCTGAAGCACAATCAGCAACTGGAGAAAAAAAAGAATGCACAGCTGTTGGAAGAAGTTCGTAGGCGAGAGGACAATATGACTGACAACTCTCAACATTTACAAGTGAGTCTATTTTTCAGTTGTGTTTTAAAAGCATCAAAGATAGTACACTTCTGTTTCACTGTGTCTACCAGGATGCATAATAAATCTCTCCCACAAAGAGCTGATGGATCTCTCCTCTTCTACCAGAGGATGCCCTACTCATCTCAGTTCTGTCTGTGAAATATTTACTATTAGGGTGAGGGAAAAAAACCCAATAGAATTTGAAGACCTCTACAGAGTTACTACCTCAGCAAATGTTTTTTTCTTGCAGTTGGAAAGAAAAGGCTCTCTTGTATCTCTCCTTTATTTAAGATAAACTCTGAGCCTTGATCTAGGACAGTTTCTACAGATTTTAAGTTTCTGACCTTGGGGTTTGAGATTTGCAAGACAATGAACTGGTCTGGTTAAGTGATACATCACATACTGGGGAACTTGTTTTCAAGGCCACAAGTTTGATGCTTGATTTAAAAATTATTCCCTGAGATCTGACTGTGAAAAACCACGAAGAGAAGTGCTGATTTCTGTCGACAACATCAGTGTCTCCATGCCCAGTGTTTAGGCAATTTACAGTGCAAAATATCAATTTTGCCTTGATCTGGTTAATATAATGTGATTCTAGAAAATTTCCAGTGGATGGAATTTGACCATCTCATGCTTTGTATGGTTGTATTTCTATTTCTAATATGTTCCTATATGCAAAATGGAAAAATTAACGCCACATCTCTCTCCAGGCTTGTGTTGGTGGAACTTTGTCAGAATCAAGTTCAGGAAATGATACGTTTTTTATGCATCTGGGCAGTGTTATGTCTACTTTATAACCTTGGTCATTACATCCTGGTTGCATCACCATGCATTTGACTGCATGTGATGTAGCAACAAAAGCTTGTGAAGTATTTGATCTGACAATATGATATAAGAGAATTAAATTTCAGTGTTGAGCAGCTACTTGTAATTACTGTAGCTCAGTAAAAGGAATATATTAAGCTTATTTTTTTAGTAATATTTTGGAAATCTCTGAGTGGTGTGATGACTAGAGAATAGAAGCCATTCCCAAGAACTTTGATTTAACTGCTATACTTGGGGCTTTCTAATCTTGTGGTGAGAATGCATCTACCAAATGGAAGAAGCGTGGCTGAATGGCTTGAATTTGGAAAGAAAACTCCTTGTCTGGTGTATAGCTCTTATGTTCCGTTCACTTCCTATAAAACATTTACACACTAAGAACAGTTTATGAAAACCAGTTAACCAAGAACTGTTATTTCTTGTTACTATGCCTTAAAGTTTCAATATTTTAATACTATATCCTTCAACACATTATTTTCAAGATATGAATCTGATAAGTAGGTGGTTGACTGGTTGAAAAGCCAAACAAATTGTAGAGCTCCTGTCAATTAGCCTTGGTATAGAAAGGAATTTTTAAAAATATGTTTTTAAGAAAACGTTTCCTCCGTTATGGAGTTGTGTAAAGAGTAACAGGAGTGATCTAAGGATTTAAATGAGGCAGGATTTTTGGGGAGACACGTGATGTGAGATATATAATATACTTTGAAAACCAGATTTCTAGGAGTACTATGCATCTGCTGATTAAAAATAATAATAATTGCTCTTTCAATTAATGTTTAATCTTAGTAAACTGTAGGGATCTGACCCCCTTTCCTTGTTGCTGTTTATAATACCTTCTACTGTGTTTAGTGGAAACACCCTATGTTTATAGGCATCTATAACACATAGTGCTTGTGTCTACAGTGTACTTGTTACATTTGTGAATGATGTATTGAGCTGTTACGGGAAAAGTATATCCTAAAATTCTCTGGCCTGATGTAATGACTGTATTTGTTGGCTGGCTGTGATAAGCTGGCTGTTGGCTGGCTGTGATAAGCTCAGCTGAGAATTGAAGAGCAGTCAGGCTGGTCAAATTACATTTACTCCAGCCAAGTCTTGATCCCTTTTGCAGAAGTACTGGAAAAGATGTAATAAGGAAGCGAGTGGGATTGTCCATGGACCATTCAGGGAGTTACTCTGGGCAAACTGAAGTGCCATCCATTTTGTGCAGCTCAGGTAGGGGCTGAAGCTCTACCCATTCAGCTGCCCACTTGCTTTCTGATAGGTTTGAAGAAGTTGAGAAGTCTGTAGTTTCTTTGAAACCTCAGTAGTATGTAACAGTTCCCGAGACTTGTAGCACCAGGTATATTCGTGGAGCTTTTCACCATCTTTTCAGATAAAAACCATTCAAAGCTGGTTCATGTCCCAGCCTCAGTGCTTGCAGGTCAGGTTTGAGTCTCTGATGGCCCCATCTCACAGCACTCCAGGCACTGCTGTGGTGGAGAATGCCCTGGGATGCCTGGGGAGGGAATTGCTTTGGTCTCCCTCAGCTATCACCTATAATTGTGAGTGATGCTTCAGGTGTGGTTTTGGGGGGTTATTTGGATCACTGTAAAATTGGAAACATCAGGGAGCCAGACTTCACATTACTTCTTGGGAATGAAGAATAGTTGTGAGGTTTTCTGGCTTTTCCTAACACAAATCAAGGGCAGACCTGTGCGAGTCTTGCCAGACGTGATGGTCATATATTAGGTAAAGCATCACAGCAGGAGAGCTGGACCTTGAACACTTTATCATGAAATTTTTTGAGAATAGTGTATCTAACATGCCTTCATTTTTCTTTTTTTTTCTGTCTTAAAAATGATAAGCCTTTTTGAGAAACACTGAGCTAAGAAATACACAGGTATCATGTCATAAATTTGTGTGTAATTCCTCAAGTCTCTTTGTAGGATCTTGAAATGTTAAAGGTGTGAGACTTGTTTATTTCCTGAGATGCATTTTTCTTGATTCTTGTGTGGAACATCTTTCTTCCAGTAGCACTGTTACCTCAACAGAATTGGGAAAGGAAATATTTGCATAACATGGAGAACTTAAGTGCATTTGGTTGGAATCTGATTTTCAGACCTGCTTTAATAACAAAAACAAAATCCTTTTGTTTCTCTGGAGTAAACAAAAGAAGGTTCACATAATAATATTACTATATGTCTCATCACATAGCCTCAAAGGAAATGAAATATACACTTCTGATTATAGTTTTCATAAATGTAATTTATCAATTCAATAAGTAATCTAAGTCCAGAAACACTTCTTTGTGGAAATTTTTTACAATGTCCAATGCATACAGGTCACAAAAAAAGTGCAGGGATGAGCCTGAAACAAAGTTAAAAAGTTTAATACCCTATTCTGCTCTAATCTATTCAACTTGTGGGTGTTTCCACCTTTTCTTCCAGTTTATCTTCTGGCAAAGTTTTTGACTTTTCTGTTGTTTTAAATGTTTGGGTAATTTGTCACAATTCTCTTTCAAGTAGCTTGGGTTTTCTTTGGGTGGAAATCCACATGCAGAAAAGAGATATTTCACTAACAACATTGTTTTTGAGTGAGACAATGTGTAGTTCTCATTGATTTCAAACATCATCTACAGGCAGCTTGATCAATGCTCTGTGCCTGCAGTACTGTGAAACAGATTGTGTACATATGTACATTTTCCAGGTGTAAATATCTCACTTTTTAAACAGAGTCTAGCTTCTCAGTCGTGCTTTGTCACTGGATGTGCAAGAGTTCTAGTTTTCTTATAGCTTTGTACTGGCTGGAAATTTAGTCTTAGGTAATGAATAAAACATGATCAGGAGAAAGTCCCATCAATGGAGAGAGAAAAGCTGACGAGTTAATATTACTGCTTTCTGATTCTTGCCACGTGAATGTCTGTGATATCTTACTCACTGAAAATAGCTCCCAAGAGATTTCATAGCTAGTCACTGTGAATCCTTAACCTTGGATTTGTTTCTTTGTGTGCTTCACCATACAATTTTCAACTCCATAATAGTTCTAGAAATGCAAAACATACTGAAGACATTGCACATTACTATATGTTATTTCTGTGTCTTTTAAAATAAGATAGCATGGCCTAAACAATGGCCATACCCGACATTACTATGAATTTACTATGATTTTTCCTTTAATGCAGTGTATTTCCGACTGCATCGTTTCAAACACTTTGAAACTATAATATCAATAAAAAGAAAAAGCTAGGGAATGAGATGAAGTCCTGCAAATAAAAATGAACAGAGCAGTTTAATCAGTGCAGAGACACAGGAAGCAGCCATGAGTGCTATGCAGACAGGCATTAGTGCATGGAGCTGACACAAGGCAGGAGAGAATTCATTACATAAACACTTTGTACGTAAAGCTTTGCATTATTAGTGCTGAAATACATATGCAGTGTCAAAACACAACCTTTTAAGACGTTAAAAATCATGAGCTATTGTATTAAAAGGGAATTCTGGTTTAAGCATCCATCCTAAGGTGGACCTATACCTCTCTGGAAGGCTTTAATAATTCTCAGTGTTTAGGGGATTCTGTAGGTTTCGATCTTTAGAAGGCTGGTAATTTTGGGGGGTAGGTAGTGCCAAGATAGGGATTTTGCCTATTTACACCATTCCTGCCTCATTTCCACAATGGGCATGTATGAATTGCAAGTGGTGGTCTGGCTTTGATGTGCAGAATTGCTCCCTACCTCTTCTGGTTGTGGGCAGGGGATAAGGGGAACAAGGTGACTGCCCTTGATTTCCTGTTCTTAATATCACGAGCAATCAGAACACACAGATGAGATATGATGTAGATGGATTTTTGAAATACGTTCAGGGACAAGAGAAGGGATAAAACATGGCCTGCAATGCTTGTGAAGATCTTCCCTCTTGCTAAGATTTCTGCTATCAGATTTGAATATCTTGAAACAAAAGCTGGTTTGTTTGCAAGTCAGCTGCAACAAGTCTTTTGGTCTTTGTGTAAGATGATAAAGAATTGTAAGATTTTGGAACCAGTTCAGTGACAAATTCAGAGGATGGAGTAAGCTACAGCTAGAATGAAGTTCTCCCCTTAAGGTTCCCATGAACACCTGTTTGTGGAAGATGCAGAATAGAGACTAATTATGGTTTTAGTGACTTAAAAACTTATTTTACCATAAATTTTCTACAATTAAA